GGTCACGGTTTGATTATGCCTTTTGATATTAAACCAAAAAGAGGGAAACCAAGTTTGACATTTCTGTTTGATGTCATATATGATCTTCCTCCCCCACTGCTAGGATTAATGAAAACCACACAGCTGCACTTCTTGAATGATACTGGGTGTAAGTAAGCCAGTAGGTCACATGTGTTGACGTAATTTACATAGATATGAAATCGCATCACTGCAATAGTCTCATTCTAATATTTACCGTGTCCCAGAAGCAGCGCACGGCAAAAGTAGAACCCAATCTCATCTTTAGCAGCGCGGCGTGCCGCTTCTGGGACATGTCTGAATTGTCCACGTTGTGGCAGGTTTGAATCACCTCCATAGTCTATAATGAATTCTAAGTTGAAGCAGTGACGTTCCAGTGCGAAGTAGGGGTTAGACAGCACAGGCTGCATGTTCAACAACAACAAAGTCAATGTGGCTTTATATTCCCCTTTAAAGAACATTAGACTGTCAGTTGAGCAATGCCACACATTTCCTGAACTCAACATCTACAGCTCCATGTTCTTGACCAAGAAACTGAATCCTGCATCTGCTGATCTGCTCTTTAGAATGATCAAAAGAAACCCTTTAAAAGTGTTTTTTGAAGCCACTTCTGGTTGCATTTAAACTGCAAAGACAAATGCTGAGATGAAGTAAGAGACAGCTGGTGTGATGCAGAGTAGAATATCACCTCATAATTTATCAGCTGTAAATGGACTTTAAAAACAGCCCAGGTGTTGTGAATCAGTCTGGGACTCCTGGTTTGTGCTCAGGTTTCTCTTTTGCAACAAAAACTTCTGCATCTAAAAACAAGCTACTAAATTTTTTCACAAGTTGTGACACAATAAAGAATACATCTGTCCAACGAATATGAAACCTGCAGTCAGAAGTATTTAACATTCATTTCACAGCAAACACAGAAGAAAAAAAACTTTGGATAAACTGTCAGATATTTGGAGAATCATATAGAAGCAAGTAAAGCAGCATGTGCCTAAACATGTTGAGCATTCAGAATTAATCTGAACCACGTTACGTTGTTTAAACAAACACCAGCAGGAATGATGGTTTAGACATAAGCTACCAAAGAGCATTAGAGACAGGTGGGAGAAGGAAAAAAAGGACAGCTTTCAGATTACAGGTGTGGTTTACTTGTTTAATCTATACATTTGCAGTGTTCTCTAGTGTAAATCAATGCCTCATGCTGCATAGATGTGGACTTTGGGCAAGGTAATTACCCACAGTCCATTGCTGTGTGAGGATTTTGGGAAAAAAAGGCAGATCAATGGCTCAAAGCCATTTTCTGAAAATATGTATTTTCGAATGAAAGTTGATTTTAGGGCAATTAATGAATTTGATTAATTCTCTGAATGTTTTAGACAAGGACACGGGTGCATAAACTCGGTCCTTGAGGGCCACTATCCAGCAGGTTTTAGTTGGTCTCTGCTTAAACGCACCTGGTTTGAATCTGCTGGTGATTGACAAGCTGCTACAGAGCCTGATGAGCCGCTGAACAGGTGATTCATCCAGTAATCGGTTATTGCTGCTGGAGCAGGTAAACAACTAAAACCTGCTGGATAGCAGACCTCGAGGACCAGGGTTGCCCACTTTTGTCAAATAACTGTTTTTTTGAAAGTTGTTAATAAAGATTTTTTTAAAGTAGCACAAACATCGAACAGCATTCCAGCATACGTCGCGGTCGATGACGTGATGCTCACTGTGCCAATTCAGCACACTTGTGTACGCACTTGAAGCCTTACCTCCTCTAAGGCCTAGTCCACACGTAGTCGGGTTTTTTTTTTAAAAACGAATATCCGCCCCTCCAAAAACTTGCATCCACACCACCTCGTTTAAAAAAAACTCTGTCCACATGTACCCGGATAAATACGTTGTTAAGGACATGCCAGACCTGTAGGCGGCAGTACTTCCCCCGTTCTTAACCTCGTCCTTTGTCTGTGGTCTTCCGCTAGGAGCAGTAATTCCGCTTGCAAAAACAAACAAGCAAAAAGCGCTTGGACAATTGATAAAGCGAGCACAGCTCTGAGGGCATCCATGCTGTCGGCTAGTGTAAACACAGGTCGCACACGTGATGTCAGCATTTTTCTGTCGCGGAAAGTGACGTTGCGGACCTTAAAACTCCAGTTTTGTCTGTCCACACGCAGACACCCAAAACGGAGAAAACGCAGATCTTCACTTTGGCCGGAGTTTTTTAAAAAGATCCGTTTTCGTGTGAAAAAACTCCGTTTTCGTGTGGATGACAGGCCAAAATGTAGAAAAATATTTACGCTGTGGCAGATCCCCGGCTACGTGTGGACAGGGCCTAAGTGCACTTCACGGAAGGGGATAGGCCGCTGTGCAAATGTTGCCTTCTACGTCTTCTAACGGGGCATCTGAGCTTTTTTCCCCAGAGAACAACTTTACAAGGCTTTCAGTCCCACTAGAGACCACTGAAAATGTATTAAAATTAGTATAAATTTGTTTACTGCCGTTTTATTTGGCTTTGTGTCTTTTGCTCTTTTGTTTTTATCCTTCTGTTAAGTACTTTGGTCACCTTCCAGGGTTGTGGAAAGTGCTCTATAAATAAACTTGTGTGTGATTTTCAGCAGGACGCAACATGAACACTTATTAGCTTATGGCCCAACTGTCTCAAATATGTTAGACCTAAAAATCCACATAATTATATGCCATTGGTCCCTGAGAGCAAGATATTTTAAATGCCCATCCATAGGATTTAATTTTCAAGCATTCAGCCAAAATAATCCTCTTTTGAAGCTCATTCATTTGGAGGATCACACAGAGACTTCTGACTGGTAAATGAAAAAAAGAGGTGAAAATCTGTTGCACATCCAGACTTAGTCATGTTTACAAGAAAATACCAGCAGTTCTTGGGAGATTACATCGTCCTTATTAGTGCACAGCAGCTTCGTCCTATAAAGCAGTAAATGTCAGGAATGTGAATCCCAGTATGCCACAGGATGTTTGTTTGCACAACTACGGTCATCACGACTACAACTAAACAGCTGCTGTTGGTCATAATCCGAATCATTTAAGAAGTTTGTTGCTGGGCGTTGAGGAGCTGAATTGAACATCCTGAAGTGTTTAACTTGAACATAAGTGTGAATTAGAACATTTTCACTTCTTATAAAAAAGGAAAGTTTCCATGTCCAACCATGACCAAATGTTCAGAGAATGAAGCGTAAGTTGTCATAATGTTTGACGTTTAGCTGTTTTTATGTTTCCAATGTTTCTGTGGTCTATTGAAATTACAAGTTTTTACTGAAAGTTAATATTTAGTGTTGGAGCTTGCCATGGGTTGTTGGGTGTTGCTTTTTCCACCCACCTATTGAGGTGACTACAAATATGGGGTGACAGTGGCTCAGAAGGTAGGAGGTTGTGTTGTGCCCTTGGGCAATGATGCCATGGATGCACTTATTTATTAACGGTAGGGAAAAGTTATTTTAGGTTTTGTGTGAAAATTCGTCCAGGACCAAATGCGCACTACCAACTTGACCGTCACTGAACCAGACACGGAAAGCAGAGGAAAAATGGCTGTAGTTCTGCGATCTTCCAGTCCTTCGTCCAGGAGGAAAGAACCACCAAAAATCTGGCCATTTGGTACGTAGCAGCTAAGCTAGGGGAGAGGAGTTCTGTGGCGATGTCAACGTGCCGACGTCTGATTTGTAGTCATAGGAATTACACATTTTTAAAAGCTGATAAATCTTAATCTAGTGCGTGATAAGCGTGGTCGAAACACATAACTTTTCATTTAAATTCAAGTTCAACATATGTGCAATTCAGGGCATGAGGTGACTTGCATTCGTTTTTCCGTTCTTCCCATGAGCCGACTGGAACGGAGGAGACTTTGGATTTCTGCATGATGTCTAGATTCTGAGGGTCTTTTGGTCTGCTTCATTTTGTCACAGGTCCTGTTGAAGAGATGTCTTAATTGAGAACAGGTGGCAGTAATCAGGCCTGGTTGTAGCAAGAGAAAACGGACTCAGGTGTGATGAACCATGTTACGTTCCAACGAGGAGGCACTTGTTGCAGAGGGTCATGTAGGTTTGAAATTTTATTTCTCCCTAAAAGGTAAAAACCTTCACTTGAAAACGGGATTTTGTGTTTTCTTGTGCTGTAAGTGGCTAATATAATTTCTTTAATAATCTGAAACGTGTGAAAAACATAAGAAAATAAAGGAAGGGGGCAAACCCTTTTCCACACCATTGAAAGACTGCAAAGCGGGACACTTTAATGAATACGTATTTCATCTGATCACTCTTCAGGAACATTCTAGAATTCATGCAAACTGTCCCCATAAAAAAATGTGTGTTATCTACCTTGATTTGTTTGCTGGCACTTTTGGCTGCACTGTCGCTTTCTTCAGAGCATCCACAGGTTTCATTGTGAATTCTTCTTCTGCATATGTCTGTTCAGTGAAGGACAATGTTCTTCTTGATCATCCCATGTGTGGTCTAGCATGTCCACTCCTTCACCTCGATTGGGGTTAGCGGCGTGGCATTATTTCATCCGCTTCCTTAATCTGTCGTTTGGACTTTTCTGTTCAGTTTTTTTAATTATTAGTCTTCCCAGTCCAGCCCCAGCTCATTTGGCGCAAAAACTATCAGCAAACAAACAAATAGGCAACAACTTTTGCACCACTGTGTAAATACATAAAAACTGAAAATAGGAATTGGTAACAAACACAGAGTGAATGATAAAGTATGTGTGTTTTTGTGTTCTTTGTGTTCGCGTCTCTTGTTTCTCGTGTTGACAATGAATTCTCAGTACCTAATCATGTGCTTTCATTAGTGAGAAAAGTGAGCCAGCTGCTGTTAGCTCGCTAGCAACAGACAGGTAACTGGATACCTTATAAAACTGAGCCAAAAAAAAGACTAGCCAAACAGGAAGAAGAAAACTGTTTGTGATCCATCGAACAAATCTGTATTAAAGGATTGGAACACCAATTTAAAGTAAAGGTAAACGACAGAAACTCATTTTATAGCAAATACACCTTTATCACAATTCAGTAATATCAGGTATGTTACATATAAAGATAACAGTCTGTAACTGAGTCGGATGATAAATGTTGGTGTTAGACTAGAAATAAGGAGAAGTTACACTGCACTGGAAACAGAAGAAAAATTTTACAGAACTTATATTTTTAAGAAGAATTGTTGAGCTTCAAGATGACCCACAACATAATCTCTCAGTAACCATAGCAACTTAGCAAGACACATCGGTAGGACTGAATGACGCTAATCATAAAAGCGCTTCTGCATACAACCATGAAAGCAGTTCAACACAAGGTTGAATACAATTTATTTCAGTTTGTATCACATTGTTTTTCAAGGGGAGTTCAGGAAGCTGGGAATAATTTCTGTGCCATATTTAAATGAGTATACAACCAAAATAGAATGAATCACCTCTTTGAAATCTGACTTTTCCCTGAATTGTAACTTAATCTATTCAGTTTTGTTTATTATTCTTCCATCCAGCCAGTGTCAGGTGGGGTACACCCTGGACAGAGAGCCAGTCCGTCGCAGGGTGTTTATTATTCTTGTCTACTTTAATTTTCTTTAAATGATTAGGGGAAATGAATCATCTTGTTTCTTTTCTTGAGGCTTTGCAAACCAAAGTAAAAAACTTGCTTAACAGTAAACCTTCTCTGTGTTGAACAATCACATCTTGTGAAATGCTTCATTTCATTCCTAATTACATTCCTTATTAACCTTTTCTTACCCAACAGCTTTATGTAAAAGCAGTTTAACAGTGTATTTTTATTTAAACCAATAAATAAACATGTCAGTTTTAATAATAAATAATTACAAGTATTTGTTTACATAGAAGTTTTCTGGTTCTGTTTATTTGTAATTTTTTTTCATGTATTTCTGTCTGCGTTCCTCATGTCAGTGGCCTAGTGGTAGAATATCCGACCTGCGACTGCGATACAGGGCTTCAAATCATGGTCGGGTCAAAGACCTCTAAAATAAGACCCAGTGCCTCCCTGCTTGACACTCAGCATTGAGGAGTTGGATTAGGGGTTTAAACCACTCATTAGTCCCCGAGCACAGCCACTGCTGCAGCTCACTACTCCCTATGAGGATGGCTCAAATACCTTAGACAATTAGCTGCTGTCCCTAGAAGAAAATAAATAAGTGTGAGTTTCTATTTTGTGGATGACTCTAATTGAAATCCATGATAGGGATTCCTTTGGAAGTCTTTCATCTTGTGATGTTACTTCTTACCAGAACATTAGTTCCATAGAATGTAACACATAAAAGTGTGAAATAAAAGTGTTGAGTGAAATAATACGTTTTAGCTTTGTCTTTTAAGGTGCTCCAAATTGCCACAGATATGTTGTCTAACAGTGTTAATGACAGCTAAATCTGTGTGGCTGATTCGAGGGGAGAAAAATCCAATGTTCATCTAAAGTGAACATAAAAGGCTGCATGGTGGTGGTTAGCAGTGCTGACTCACCCAAAAAAAAAAAAAAAAAAAAGCATGTGGAGTTTACCGGTTTGGTTTGGTTTACTCTGGGTATTCTGGTTTCCTCCATGTACTCAGGTTTTCTTTGAGGTACTCTTGTTTTTTTGAAGTACTCCAGTGTTTTTCCACAGTCATAAATTCAGTTACCCCAGCCTTCCACGATGTGTAAGCGACACGTAATGTAATGGAAGTGTTTACCCACGAGCTCCCTTTCCACCGGGAGCATTTCAAATTCAAAACGGCAGTGGAAGCTTTCCATGCAGCTGGTCCCACAAGGTCAGGAAATCACAGGAGAACTGCAAACCCACGCGTGATTTCATCAGTTCATGCGATAACAAGCAAGAAGAAAGATAACAGCGTATATCCAAAAAGGTCTGTGGTTATATGTATCTCAGCTATGGAGGTTTTGTAGGTAATGATGTACTATTTTACTAGTTAAGCAACTGGAAATCTACACAACTTTTACTTTGAAAGTCTCCAGATGTTTTACACTGCTTTCTTAATTCACTTCCTTTTGGGTGCATTCTGAACTGCTATACTTGATGCTTTCTGGAAGTGCAGAGCCTGAACTTAAAGGATTAGTCCCTACATACCCATTCACTATAACGGCAGCTAATTGCTACGTGCTACAATTCACGGATGTTGCACGATGCGTACGCATCCGGTGGAAAGGCCCAGTAAAAATGAGTGTAGCTGTTAGAGTTTCTGTCATATCCATGTTTCGTTACCTTTAAGTAGATTTATTTGAACTGCTCTGTCCTTGCTTTGTTTCACACAGATATGAATTATTTTACAGCTATTATCTACTAAAGTGTAATAACTGGGAACATAGACCCTTTTAAGAAGACGTTCTCTGCTATTATTACAACTTAAACATTGATTTTCAGAGCTACTCACATAGTGGTAATACAAAGTTGCCCCAACATACATCACAGCATATTAGCATAATGTCAGTGACTTACTCACAATAAATCTTAAAAATCGAGTACACAAAAATGACAAAACTTCTCAGACCAAATCTAAGTTGGCATTGCTAAAAGAGGTGGTGTCTTTTCCATTAAAGTTTATTATTTATTAATCACGATGAACTTCATTAACTACAGCCCTGTTATTAAAAATGGCTTCCACTTGTCAGTCAACACTGCCAATAAAACTGGACAATGAGAAGCCACAACACTGATTTAAAATTATGTTCTGTACAACAACTGCAGCTTTATTAGTCCCTAATATTTCCTTTCAAAGAAATTGTCTAAAACTCTAAATTTACTCTGAACTTAGCACACAAAATGTAAAGTATTTCTAATTGGAACAACTAAAGAGCCTCGTTAAACCTGGTAGCTTGCTGGATGATTTAAAAAAAAATTCTGCAATTGTAAATAAAAACTTTAAATGGATGCATAAGGGATATAATTATGGGTCTGCAGTCCAAAACAGGTTATGTATTTTTACTAAATTAAATCACTCTTCCTTATGAGCTAAAGACTTGTTTCTGGACAGCGGGTGTGCAGTTTAACCAGAAAGATGCGTCATTTCATACTTAAACAATGCGGAAGCAATTTAGCTTTAATTGATCATAATTTCACAGTGAAATTATTTAGGGTTACTCCAACTCAGATGTGGCCATCACTTTGCATTCATGTTTTTCAGTGTAGATAAACATCGCTCTGCAGTTAGCTGGTAAAGGTCCTTATGGCTAGTAGATTCTGATTCAGATGAACTTCACACATAATAAAATTCTGATATTACCGGTTGAACAGAAATGCATGGCACCATGTTGTGCCACAATGGCATGTTTTTTTATCCATCAATACGTAGGGCAAAACGGTAAAGAAACGTTAACCAGCAGCTGTACAATACAAAGTGATACCTGGATATTATAAAGAGAAAGGAGTACAGCAAAAGTGGAATATTGTAAAAGCTACAAAATCTTTAAAGACAAACTGAAATAGAAATACGTAAAAGAGCAGAAAACAGACCAGGCAGCCCTAAAGGAAAGCCACAATGTTCATCAGTCTGTTCATAATGGTTCAGTTCATATTACTGAAGCGATCTGTTTCTTCATAGTTCCTGTAATGATCAGTTATTCAGCCTAATGTGGTAATTATTGCTTCTCTACGCTATGAAGCTGGTATGCCTCACTATATCGTGAAATTTTACCAAAAAGTAAAAATGTCAACACTTTATAAGGTGAACAGTCGTGTGAGTAGGAACAACACACATCCATTCAGTAGGTAGGAGCTCATCCCAAGGTGACCACTTATTCACCACACCACTGTGCCACACACACCAGGACACAAACGACACAGGTAAAGACGTAGATGGACCAGGTTCCTGCAGTCACAGCCTCAAGGCTGAGCTGAAGCACCCCCGCCTATACATCCACTTAGAGTCACACCGCTGTGTGCTTGGAGTTTGAGTTCTCTTTCCCGGGCAATGAGGAAAGGTCCCCGCTGAACTGGCTGAAGCTGGCCGCCCTACACCTTGCCCTTGGTCCTCCTCCTCCATCTCCAGCCGTTGGTCCAATGGGTAGAGTACTGTATCGGCCCGGGAGTGGCAGACCCTGGCTTGGGTTGGGCACTTGGCTGTCAGACTGGAGGGTGGCATCCTTGACAAAGAAGCTCTGGATAAGCTGGAATTTTTCCTTCTCCTCCTGTAAAAACAGGTTGACCAGCAGCTTCTTTTCCCGTTTTAGCTGTTCTACAATCGTTTTGGGAACATCTGGGATGACCCAGGCGACCATGAGGCTGAGGAACATCACCAAATTCTGCAAGAGCCAGACAGAATGAGAGAGAAAGTTTGAAGTGGAAAGATGGATGGACATGAACACAAAGAAACATTTCAAACAGGTATTATAATGTGCAGGTGCTGGTCATACAATTAGAATATCAGGACAAAGCTGATTCATTTCAGTAATCCGATTCAAAAAGTGAAACATGCATATTAGGTTCATTCATTACAAACAGATGTTAGTAATGAATGAACAAATGTTTATTTCTATAATTGTGATTATAACTGACAACTAATAAAATCCCAAATTCAGTATCTCAGAATGTCTTGTGAAACGATTCAGTATTGAAGATGCCTGGTGCCACTCTAATCAGCTAGTTAACTCAACTCACTTGCAAAGGCCTTTCAATGGTCAATTGGCCAACATTTCTAAAAATAGTTTTTTTGCATTGGTCTTAATTAACATTCTAATATTCTGAGATACTGAATGTGGGTATTAGTTGTCAGTTATAATTATTAACATTAGAAGAAATAAACATTCGAAATGCATCATTCTTAAAAAAATTGTCTAATATACATGTTTTTTGAATGGAATTACTGAAATAAATCAACTTTATCATATTCAATTTTCTGACCAGCACCTGTATGTGTGCTACGCATCAAGTCCCTTTCACACTGGAAGACACTCTATAGTGCTTTCTACCACAACCAACGAAGGTGGATTGCTGCAAATCTAGAAAACAACTTTAAGTGTGAAGTCATGATGCTGCAATACTCCTAGCGCCAAAAAGGATTTTCTATGCTTTTGATGTTATGAAGCAGCAAATTCCATGAAAGATCCTAAGATGTAAACCCACTATCCAAATCTGTCAGACTGTATAAGGATGCAGGGTTGTAGCTTAGTCATGCGACCAAATTGGCCCGTGCGTAGATTTCCAATGAGCGACCCACTCTGGTATGTGTAGATCTTGGGTGAAGCATTAGATAGAAATGCCTCTTATGCCCTGTTTTGTTTATAACTAGTGAAATGTGCTTTGATCATTAAATCAATATGAGCTAAATTGGACAACATGTATTAAAGGAGTATGTATGCAGACAAGTTTCTCATTATAATTCCAGGAAACCTAGTGTGATGTACACTTGGTGTAATCGCTGGCCAACACAGATGAACATCTTTTGATGGAGGGCTAATTTAAAATAAAAGAACAAAGAGCTGATATGACTTGCACCTATAGAACATACCTGAAACAAAATGACGAAAGCCAGCCTTGCAGAGAGGACACACCAGTACTGTTTGGAGAACTGATATGAATCTGAAGACCAGGGGGGTTCCCTGTAGTCTTTATACCTAAAACACAACAGACAAGCAAAGATTTGGAGGCTGGAATTACATTCTGTTTAAGATATTTAAGTTTTCATGCCAAAAGGATCTAACTCAGCCCTGGCATCAAGTGGGCATCAAATTAGCATGCAAAATTCAATAGATAACCCAGCACCGTCATGCTTGGAGAAACAGTTGGTCACTGGACTGGAAGACTTTGAGAATCCAGGTCAAACAAATGTATTTTTGGTATAGCTTTGACTACATCCTGCAGCTAAATCTGTTTTATCTCCACATGCCTGAGAAAGTCTAACTAAAACAATATTCTTTTCTCCGCTCCAGACCCGACTCAAGGTGCAATTAACTTTAAGTGTATTGTTTTTCTTTGGTTTCTATGTAGTAAACACTCTGGGGTGGGCAGACATGGGAGATGAGCTGAAACACATGTTGAGCAAAAAGCCAAAAGTCTAAAATAGAAAACAAAGAACTAATGTCAAGATTAATGGAGGGAAGAAGAAGCAGGTAAATCCCATAAAAAAAGTATGATTTTCTGTGACTGGACAGAAGTGATTTCATCTGTTGCACACACAACAGGAGGATTTACGACACATGGGATTATGAATACGCCATCTGTGTTTGTTCGTTTATGAAGTTTGGTAATTGTAGAACTTCAGGTCACACATATGATATTGATCAATTGAATGGAAACAGGAAATCTAGTCACTGAGATGCTTTGAATACAAAAGGAAAATACAGATACATTTTTAAGAGTTACAGCTTTACAAAATGTGGATTTAATTTAGACAAGTCAACTTTTTTTGAATTTTTTATGTTATCTTTGGTGCAATGCCAAGAGGATGGAGAAGTTAGCTAAACAGTTTGCTCTCAAATGCAGTGACTCCTTTAAAATGTACCGAGGTCATCAGACTCTTTATGTCCCACTTTAAGGGTGATTCATAATACAATAAGTTGAATGCAGTCAATTGATCCCACATGTGAAACCACACAGACACAGATGGATCTGCTCAACGGAATGAGTAAATGCTAAAAGCCACTAAAACCACCTCCTCCGAAGGTGTAAGAACATATAAATGATAGCATCTTAGCTTAAGCTTGAGCACCATTATGGCTGCTCTCGTGGTCTGCCTGAATCTGTTCTGTCTACATGTGTGTGTGTGTAACCTGGGTCAGGCTGTGCTGCGGAGTCAAGTTCCTATGCTCTTGGTCGCTGGAGCGCTGGCAATAAAGCTTTTTCTGATTCTGATTCTGATTAATATCTGTACATTTGACTGAGTTATGGCTAGTTTTTGTTGTCCGACATCGGTTGGATTTGGCAGCCTTTTTACATTTGGAATCGATCAAAACCATCTTTTGAGACAAGCATGCGCTGGCACAGGGCGTTCTTACTGATAAGCTAGGACTGGGAAGATGCAAGGTCAAACGCCTGTCTGTTGCCAGGGGAAAAAGAGCTGGATGTAACTTTCGTTTAAAAATCATACACAATGTATCCATAATTTATCCAACACTACCCTCACCTATGGTCATGAGCTTTGGGTAGTGACCAAAAGAACGAGATCGCGGATACAAGCGGTCGAAATGAGTTTTCTCCGAAGAGTGGCTGGTCTCTCCCTTAGAGATAGGGTGAGAAGCTTGGTCAAACGGGAGGGGCTCGGAGTAGACCCGCTGCTCCTCCACGTCGAGAGGAACCAGTTGAGGTGGCTCGGGCCTCTGGCCAGGATGCCTCCTGGACGCCTCCCTAGTGAGATTTTCCGGGCACATCCAACCGGGAGGAGACCTAAAGGTAGACCCAGGAAACGGTGGAGGGACTGTGCCTGTCACCTGGCCGAGCTGGCCCAAGTGGCTGGGGAGAGGGAAGTCTGGGCCTCTCGCCTTAGGCTACTGCCCATGCGACCCGACTCCGGATAAGCGGATGAAAAAGGATGGATGGATGGATGGATGGACAAGATTAAGAGAGCTTTTGTTGTCGAATTCTTCACATGCACTTGAATGTTTCACACATGTGCATAAATGACACAAAGACATGACAGGACAGTACAGAACAAACACAAGAGTAACAACAGATAAGATGCAGCAGTGTAAGAAAAACATTTACTCATCTTACAACTGAAAAAGGTAATATGATGTTTAGAAGTAACAAAGTGTTCTAGCATTTAGATGGTTTTTGTGCTAAGACATTTTTTTTAAATATTAAACGAGGTTCTTTTTGCTTCGGACATGGTGTTTCGAGTTACCTTTACATGTTTCGACCATCGTCTGCAGTCTTCATCAGAAATGTCACAGGTGTTTGTGTGACGCATCTTTATCAGTTGTGCTTTTGGTGGGCGTGACCAGCCTGGATCTGTCAGATTTGCCGGGTCGGTCACGCCCACCACCGCTGGCTGGTCTTTGGAGAAGGGAATCCCAGGTGCGAGACAGCTGATAGGCCCCCTCATCTCTGTTCATGTTCCAATGTTCACGTTTCCTTATTTCTATTGCCTCCCTGACCCAACGTTTGAACCGGTTGTTCTCCGTGTCGATAATTTTCTCTTGATCCCAGTCCATGATGTGATTATTTCGTTTGCAATGATCTGAGATGACCAGTGTTGGGCAAGTTACTTCAAAACTGTAATGCATTATTTATTACTTGTTACCCTCATTTTAAAGTAATTCATTACATTACAATATTACTGATTTTAAAATGTAAGGCATTACACTACTTTTGCATTACTTTAAGTTACTTTCACCAAAACAACTTCAATATGAATCTGGTAATGTGACGCTCAGTGAGCTAATGACATATATGTGGAAAGTGATGTGGTATCTGAGCTAGGATTGCTGTTAAAAACAGTCAGATATAATAAAAGTGCTTTAAAATGATTGTTTATTAAATAAAAGCAACAACAATCTGTACTCTCAGCACGCTGCCATCTTATATTAACTGAGCAGGGAGTGAGGTGGTGGGGGCTGTGAGCCTATATTTGCCTTGGTCCCCAAATGCCTTCATACGGCCCTGGATGTGGCACTGACTTCTGGGGTGATCTGATTCTATCACATGTATAAATATTAAATGCTTATATATTATTGCTTTTCACTGGTAAAAATGTGTATTGGGGATGAATCTACCTATTTTTTTCTTTTCAAGCACTTTGTTTTGTTTTCTTGGTTTTATGTGAATAATTTCCTGCCCTTTCTCTCTCTAACCTTCCTGCATGCTGCATGGTTTCTCCGTCTTCCAGAAAAAAACGTTTCCTAGACTTCCTACTTTCTATCAGCCAAAGGGATCTTCACATGCGCGGCGCTCCAGCAGCAATGAGTTGAAATCACTGGGGCACAGATTATGAACTCAGCTGAGGCAAAGCACGTCAGAAAAGCACAAAATACCAGAGAATATGTGCTGATATGAACGATCGCAAGTGAATTATTTTGTTTTAGTGGAGCGATTTTGTGAATGTTGCAGCGGCCGTGTACAGGACACAGCTAGAGTATTTGAGCCGTTACCGCTGCGTCCTCTCTGCTCATAGAATGCCCGCAAAGCTGAGTCCATAAATGACGTAATATATGCAGATACTGGATCTTTCTTCGGGTTTCCCGCAATTTGAATTTTTAAGGAACACATCTTGATTCTGGGTTTAAAAATGCATTGTAATTACCGCGTTACTGACAATTGTACCGAGTAAATATTACCATTTTCTTTCCCTGTAATGCCTTACATTACCACATTACAGCAAAAAGCAATGCATTACAGTAATTAATTACTTTTGTACCGCATTACTCCCAACACTGGATATGAATAACTTGAGGGTTTGCTCCTCTGCTTTTTTCTTTGTTGTCCCCTCCAGGACAACTCTGGGGAATTGCTTTGCAGCACTCCCCAGGAGATGTCTCTGTCAGTGCATGTGCATCTCTCACTTGTGGAGCTGACACAGAAGCATAAACTAGGCTTTACGCATTATTTTTGGTTTCATGTTGAAAAAATGTGCAAGAAACCCCAGTCAAATGCTGTGATTGAGCCAGTTAACCACATCTCATCAGTGTGAAAGCTTAAATTTGTTTCATGACACAATGAGTCACTCACATTGACACAGAAACTTCTAATCCTCTAAAGCTGGAGAAGATGAAACACTTCAAGAGGAAAGAAATAGAGAGGAAGGAGGATGAACTTAAGGCTCATGATGGTTGAGTCCTTCTCCTTATACAGTCATGAGTGAGGAATGTTCCTTGAGAGACCGAGCTCTCCTGTCTCCATTTTTCCTTTGCTCTGTTCATCTTTCACAGCATTTTCTTTTCAAACGAGCAACCTCTTTTTAAAATTTAGACTGAAAGTCTTTCATCTTAATGGAACTAGCCTACATACAAAATATGATTGTACCCAAAGCAAAACAGAGTGTGTGTGTTTGACTTGATTTGTATGGGTGTGTATTTCCTCAACACTCCATGTTTAGTGATAGTAGCTAAGTTACTGGAGCATCTAACTCAATATCCTTTCATATATCCTCTCAATGAGATGATGGTTTATGGTTTGTGTGTGTGTGTGTGTGTGTGTGTGCGTGCGTGCGTGCGTGCGTGTGTGTGTGTGTGTGTGTGTGTGTGTGTGTGTGTGTGTGTTCTCACTAGAGTTCCTCCTGCCAGAACAGTGTCTCTCCACTGGGACCTCATAATAGTTTTATAGATTAAAATGGGACAGATCATTCCCACCGGCTCTGTGTGTGTTGGTGTCTGTCATGACTACACGTTAGATGTCTCCCAGTCACTCCCCTCATGAAAGTAATTTTTGGGAGGACAGAAAAAAACATGAGGAAACAAAAAAGTAAAATATAGAAAAAGACTGGGTCTAAGTAAAAGGCTCTATCCTTATTGACACAGAACGTCAAATTTAAAAGAACACATTTAAAGTCAAAGTCCCGTTCATCATCACACATTAGTGAAATTCATCTCCGCGTTTGACCCATCTCCATGGGGAGCAGTGAGCTGCAGCAGTGGCTGTGTTCGGGAACCATTTGGTGGTTTAATCCCCCCCCAATCCAACTCCACTCCTGCTGAGTGTCAAGCAGGGAGGCATTGGGTCCCATTGTTAAGGTCTTTGGTATGACCCGACTGGGATTTGAACCCTGACCTCCCCATCCCAGGGCGAACACTCTACCGCTAGGCCACTGAGAAGGAGAAAAGAAGTGATCACACCTTGGTCCACTAATTCCATATAAAAATTATGTGGAGAATTTATCATATTACAGTACAAACTCTCAGCTAGTTAGGAGGTTTGCGTTGGTGTATTGAAATGGGTTTTGATTTGTTTTTCTATACTAAAAGTGCTTTCTGATGCAGAACTCATGACTTTCATTTAAAAAGGCAAATTTTACATTATAGGAGTAAATAAACTTTAACATATACACGAAGTGAAAAGTAAAACTTAATCAAACATGAACATTTTTAGTTTCAAGCATTTTTTTCTTTGGCATGTTGTATGGTTAGAACACACTGAGGAGTAAATATTTTCCTCTGATGAAGTAGACAGATCCAGTTTTAAAGCATGAGATAATCCATTACGGACCTGCTTGCCCCTCACTTGACTTCTTGGTGATAAGACTGTAAACTCAGCCAGCTTCATGTCAGCACAGACTGAGTAGGCCTACTGTGGATATGTGTTTTACTAACCAAGACAAAGTTATTAACCCATCTGCATTTGGACTGCAAATAAATCACAAATGTCATCCTCTCTGTGCAACTTTCTGTGACATACTTATGTTTACAGCAGCAGTACAATCAGTTTTGTTGCAAAGAACACATTGCAGGCAATCCTTTAGTTATGCTGATACACGGTGCAGCCATATTTGAAATTGACAAGTTTTACGCTGCTAAGTGAACCAGAAGGCATGGCATAACCGTAAGGCAACCAAACTTTTATAGAAAAAAAATGCAAAGAAATAAACTAATAAATACATAGTAAATGGCTTGTATTTGATATAGTGCCTTCTAGATTCCTAGAACCCCCCACCCCCACCAAGGTGCTTTACAACACAATCAGTCATTCACCCATTCACACACCAGTGATGATGAGCTACATTGTAGCCACAGCTGCCCTGGGGCAACCTGAAGGAGACAAGGCTGCCAAGCACAGGCCCCACCAGGTCCCTCCAACCACCAGCAGGCAAGGTGGGTTAAGTGTCTTGCAACAACCTACAACTTCCAACTACTGGACAACCCGCTACCTCTTGAGCTACTGCTGATGTTAGTGTGAAAAGAGCGCCGAGTTGTCCTCTACTAACTTTACTGATTGGCCTATCTTATCCGCAGAGACAAACAGGTTTTGTGCACCGATGCAGAAACCGTTTCAACCTTCTTCATATTGCTGTTTTTAAGTTTAGTAAAAAATGTATAACTTTCGCTGTTGGCTTCTGTCGCATCCATCCAACTACAACAATTCTGCCCCATGTTTTAGTCTGCGCCACTGGAGGGTCTCTCCATCCACATGAATGTCTTTCTTGTCCTAAAAGTTGCCTCATTCCTCTAGGTTCTTATCTGATCTTTTTGCTCGATGGAATCATCCCCATTTTATCCGTCCTCAGTGTAACACAACTGTACATTCATCCAGTCTCTCTTTTGTTCTTTTATCATCGTGTGCTTTCAACCATACGCCCGCAGTCACAAAATCAACTGAGTCTGAGAGACAAAAAAGATTTTAAAGAGACTGCAGATGGTCTGAAATAAAGAGCTGAAAGACATGCCTTGAGTCCAGATACAGATGCAATGCATACACTACACACTGCAGACAAACAAACCATTCTTTAGACATTTCCCACCAATTTCACGCCTAGTAAGTGTTGAAGGCGTAAAGGCTCTCATCATGTTTCTGCTGTGACGTATCGCAGTGCTCCTACACAAAGGCTGGATTCTTGAACTGTAATGCTCTGCTGTCTTATGTAACTGCTAGTCAGATGTCTGTGGGTTCCAACATTTGTGACCTTTCCTTCTTCCGCTCTTTATTTTACCATTTAGAAACAGATTCCTACTATTGGCATTGGTAAAAGTGCATCGAGAATACAACAGTTCATTGTCTTTGGGAGCTGATGACACCCCACATTATTGGTGTTGTAAAAATACAATAGCTATGCTATGTTTAATAAAAGATTTTTGGGGCTTAATAATATTTTGAACTTTAACAGTATAACTAGAATTTCACAGGTTCAGGTGTGGGTGTGACCATGAAAGAAAATCTGTACCATTTAAAAACAGTGCAGAGTTTTAACCTGAAGATCCAAAACGATTCAAATGAAGGCAACTGGACTTCTTTGGTTTCTTATAGCAGTTTTTACAAAACAATACCATCAGTTTGCTGCAACACCGTGACCGTGGGAGCCTTAGGTCGTTTACAAGTGGTCAGACCGTGGTGGTGGTGCAATCATGTCCTTTTTACAAAAGATTAGAGGTTATGTGGGTGGTCTCTACACTGCCACGGACTTCCATTTATCTTAAACATAACTTGCTTTTTATTGCGATTGAAACCATGATCGTTAGTTGTTTTTTTTTAACAAACCACTCCTAAAGGTGTCTGTTGTCTGATCTGAGCTCCAGCTCTAACTGAGGAAAGCTCCAGGAGCGTTGCAGTGCTCCAGTTTGCCTTCTCAGCTGATTTTATTCAAAAAGCAAAACTTGTGGCCCGTTTTTACTTTCATTTTCAATTAAGTTGCTGGCCAGAGCTCAGCATTAACTTCCATCATGACACCTCCCTCTGTTGCTCCAAGGCGTGAAACAACCAGTTACAGCAATATTACTACCAAGCAAGGCGGAACGAATGCCACAAAATTCGTGCAACACCTTGCCGACATGGCGCGTTTATAAGATACACCATTGCGATAATATTACGCCGATTGGCCGGAAGAGTGTGCCTTGTAAAAAGGGCTGAAGACACCTCTATTGAGAAGGAGCCATGCTGATTAGATGCATCTAATCAACACAATGACTCCCTCACAATAGAGACTAACAAATCACCAGGGGGTAGGAAAGAGAGGTATTCACAGGTAGTTTCTGCTCGTTGAGCAACAATAGACAGTTACAGCTTATAAGATTGACTCTCCCATATTCCGGTCAGAATTGACACAGCTCTTCGGATGGGAAGCAAAATGTCTTCAAGAAACCAAAGAGGCCCAGTTGCCTTCATTTGAACTGTTTTGGATTACCATGACCTGAATGACTGAGAACCTTGACCAGCATAAAACCTTAAGAGGACACACATCTTGGTCTGGTTTCAGGTTTAAGCTGAATTTTTTTAATTGAAATAAGATGCAATAAAATGCCAAAAATAATGACTACACATGTCTACAGCACTATTAGACACTTATTTATACAGTTAATCAGAAAAAAAAGAGTTATGAGTGTCTTGCCTTGCCTTGAAATCCATGATTAGTGACTAAGCTGAGCTTATTGAATTTATTGAGTCCAGGCTTAATTGGTTGCACAATTCATGCTTAGCAGACGCAGATTCATCCTGGATAAGTGCATGCTCACGGCTCCCTTAAATAGACCCCGCCACCAGTCAGATTCACTACGGATAGTACTATTTATGTATTATGGCTAGCATATCTGTCATGTACTTACCGGCAGAAAGTGATATCTCCCGCCTGCGAGTTGAGCGGTGCTTTGCCAGGTTTAAACTCAGAAACATTAAAATAGGACAGCGTGTGGTTAATAAAGCCATCCATGGTCCCTGTTGGGCTGAACATGTACTGGTAGACGAGCCGAGGGACGAAGTCTGATGTGAAGGAGATCACAAAGGCCTACAGAGAAAACGAGAAAGGGTGAAATACCCTTCTTTCAGAGGGAGACATAAAAATACATGAGGTGTCTAAATGATGTTAAAATAAATGACAAAAAAATAAGTCATCACATGTATCAAAAATTGCAGTTCTACAATCAACCATTTGAAGGTGTGTTGAAATGTGAGTCAGTCTCTTGTTATTATTCTTGTGTATGAAGAATGCTATGAAGTCAACCTGAATGGGGCCCAATTCAGTCCCAATCCAAGTTTGTGTTATGGTTGCAAATCATGTGTTCATTGTACAACCAGACTAAAGGCTGAGCTTGAGAACGGAGTTGCTCACATGCATTGATGGAGACGTTTTCCATTCTGACTTGTCCATCAGCTAGGGAGGAGAGGGTGCTCACTGCAGAACCACAAAGGCAGAGCTGCACCAGAGTCAGCCCCGTCCATTCACACAAACTCAGGCCAGCCCATTGACTTCTGTTTTTGTTTTTAACTTTATCGCAAACTAACCTGACCCATAAGAAGTTCATAATTGTTAATACTATGTTCTATGTTCCAATTAAGCAAGCTAAATATAATTAGCTACATGACAAAGCCTGAATATACCCTGAAATGAAAAGGTTGCTTTCAGCAAATCTCTGTGGTCGTCACCTCGTCATTTCTGTCCACAAATAAAACGCTTACTGCGCATCTCTGTACTTCTTCATTCACAGGTGAACAAACACCACTAAACAGTAATTTCTGACTTTTTCCGCGAGACGTTCTTCAATCTGTCCTGTGTCTGCCACTTAATATCTTTGACGGGGCCATGGCGGTGCTGTTGACGGATTTAAAGGAAGTGTCGATCTGACAAACTTGCAGTCTCCGTCACTTTTGACTGTTCAGGAGGAGAACTGCAGCAGAGCAGGTTTTGATAAATCACTGAGTTCTGAAGGTTTGTCACTCAAATGTGGATCATCTAACTTTACAGAAAAAGTAAACTATTTTATTTATTTATTTTTTTGCTTCTCACTGAAGAATTACATGATTATAGATTTTCAGAGTAACAGGTGCGTGATGCTACAGAGAATCTTAATAAAACTTGTACTGCATTTATTTCTTCCTTGCTTTTCTTTCTAAGAGTGTGAAGTAACATTTAAAGTTAACTGACAAACAAAAACAGACAAAAAAAGGGGAAGCTCTGTCCCTCTTTCATGCTTATGAACCACTGTGGTTGTTCCAGTATGTGAGTTCAATCTTTCATTTTTTAAATTATATAAACTCCTTTTGTTGTTTGAGATCATTGAAAAATCTCTTCACTATTAAAAGTAAATGAAGAGAGATTTAGTGGAGTGCCTGAAGACAACCCCCTGGCAAACCTTTTCTGACTCTATAGCTTGACATCACCAAATTTGTGTTTGTGTGCCGTTCAGATATGATATAATATGTTTTAATATAAAAAAATGAATTTAATGTGACTTATTCTTGTACATTTATGACAAACACATGAAAAATCATGTTTTTTTTCCTGACTTCTAAAAATAATTCATATTTCAACCAAAAGTTTTTGATCGTTTAAACTGAAGAAGCTTTCTTGAGAACAAAAGTGAAACATCTGAAAAACACAAAGTCCAACCACCTTCAGTTTGGATGACCTACTGTAAATATACACCATCATTGCCAAATCTGACCTGGAGACTGGATTCATCAGTTAAACACTAATTACATTAAAAGGCATTTAAAACTATTATAGGAACAGCCCAAATCCTCATGGAGTGCCTTCAAACAGCCACATCGTGTTTGTACTTTGTAGTATTTTAGGTTTTATTTTTACAAACTGCAAGTCAGTCACATGTGGAACATTGTGTGAATACTTACATTTATGATGACGGATAATTTGCCCATTCCACTCAGTATGTTGTACCATATGCCTTTTGTAAGAAGGAACATTAACACGGAGAAGGGAAATAAAAATAGAGTTCCGTTAGAATTCAAAATTACATGACAAAATAAATGTTTTTTAGTCAGGAGACTAAATACTTGAAAATACAGCTACATGAGAAAAATGGAGGCTGCCCAAAGAGGTGAGTTTGGTTCATAACAATACATTAAGGTGTATTTATTGAACTGTGTTTCCTTTGCTCTGCCATCTTTACGTTCACTGACTTTTTTAAGTTTCACAAGAAGACTTCTAAGTTGGGTCTTTTAACATTGTAAACGTTTGTATCATTGAGAATGTATTTAAAAATAAGTGCAAGTTTTTTAAGCCGAATATAGAAAAATTGTGAGACATTTTTGTCAGTTAAATAGGTTTGGAGTCAAAATATATTAAAGCTGCAATGGCAAATCTGGAAAACAAGCAATGTTTAAACACAAACGGAATTCGCACCCCTACTGTCGGCTATCATACATAGGTCACGTCCTTCTGATATGGGAACGCACATTTCCACAGTAAACAAGATAGCACGAAACATCAGTAACATGTTTTGTAACAGTAACTTTCATTTTTTTTATAACTTGTAATTCTCGTTTTGCAACCCGTAACATTTGACACGTAAAATGAGACCTTTATTTTGTAACTTGCAGAAAACAATCAATGTACAAGTTTTGAACCACAACTCTCAAAACATACATCTCAGTCTACAGTTACAAAATTTAAGTCTATAGTTACAAAACTCAAGTCTACAAGTACAAAATATTTTGTCTCAATTCTAGCTTCCATCCCAAAGAACCAATGACTGACTTTGTCCACCAGCCAATCACGAGTCTTGGATTCCTGTCCAAGACAATTCTTGTTGGGTTAGGGTTAGGGTCACAGTTACAAAACATGTTAGAAGTTACAAAATTTGGTACAATTTTAATGTAATATTGTCCCAATGCTAGTTTCATAGTTTTCTAGGTCAAAACATCTTTTGTTGTCCGTGACCGGTGTTTTATATTTTTTTTGGGACTCTGGTAGTTTGTCGTAAAGTTGAAGTGGTAGCAGCCGGCTGTTTCACCTCCTGTTATTACTGAGCGGAAAACCTTTCACAAGTGTGCAAGTGTGTAATGAATTGAGGACCCAGGTAAATGTGGTGGTTCGTTGAGACCAACAACCAGATAGACCAATAGTTGGTGTCGGACCGAGCCGTGTTATTGGCTGAGGTTTTTAGACAATGTGAGAGAACCACTTTTTTTCTTTTTATTTATTTTTTTAAATCTTCAACAATATATTCATAGCTATACTATGTTAGAACATTGTTGAGAGACATGAAAAAAAATTAAGCTGATTGTTTTGCAGATTTGCCATTGTAGCTTTAACTCACAGGTGAAAATCTGCCTTACTGCTTAAAGCTGAGGAAACCAAATTGGTACGTTTTCAGCGTGATTAAGAGATTGGAGAATATAAAATGTTTGACTTTGGGAGTACGTTTGTGTAGATTCTGAGTCATCCAGGGCAGTATAATCTGAAAGTTTAGTTTGAAAAAACTGGACTACCCTTGTTTTACTTGAAGATGTTTTGCATCTAATCCAAGAAGCTTCTTCACTTCAAAACAGTGAACAGATGGGCCTGTTAGGATCATCAGCACCAACGACACAAATAGAGCTAAACAGAAGGAGAGGCCTGGGTTTCGTGTGACCTTGATGGCCTCACTAGTAATAACAAGGTGCCCTTTCAGCAAGTCTGTTTCAGACCACACCTGATCAGCCTCCTAACCCAAGTTTTCGACCTGAAGAAGCTTCTTGGATGAGAGGCAAAACATCTTCAAGGAAATCAAAAAAAGTTCAATTGTTTCTAACTAAACCTTCACGTTTATTATGGGAGTAAAAATACAAACACATATATGTTATCCACATGAGGTGGATCAGCTTACCGATGTCCTTAGCCCGTACAGCGACCGGCCGGCGTAGCTCGGTAACAAACTTCTTGGCGTCTAGTCGGATCTCAATGACATTGTTCAACAGGGCAAAGAGTGGGGCGAGAGGGAAAGAAGCAACGAAGAGCGACACAAACCCAAACTGGATTACTGCAGAGAGGCAAAGAAAAAAAAATTACAACAAATGAGTATTTAGTCCTGGTTTTAATTTTCTTGGTACTTGAGTTTGTTATTTTTACAAGTGGGAAACAAAAAAATGACATTAAAGAACACAACATGGGCATCACAGCATCTATTCTTTATTTGGGTTAATCTGAACATATCAATAAAGTTAGAGCAGTTAGAGTCAAATGCAACAGACATCAACACTTAGAACTTCAGTCAGTCTGAGAAATGTTTTTTTTTCTTCTATAAAAAGTACAAGATAACCATATTAGTTTAACGTAACAGGACATAATAAAAATGATTCCCTACGGGTTGACCCAGTGCCAAAGGTCAGTGCGTAAAACAGTACAAAACGATCTATCTCAGCTTCTACAGGCTTCAGTTAGCAGGTTAAGGTTTAAAGTTCAAAACAGGGAAAATAGAAAATGGCTGAACAAGTCTGGCTTGACTGGAGGAGTTCCAGGGAAAAAAAACTCTTCTCTCTAAAACCCACCTGGCAGCACATCTTAGGTAAGTAAGACAGTTTCCTCTGGGCAAATGGTAGCAAAATAAAGATGTTTAAATCCAAAACAATTTATCAACACAAACAGGTCTAACTGTCAGCAC